TTTATCTAACATCTCCCCCAACAAAGTTCATTGGTAGCGTTTGACCTTTGGGTCCACCTGAAGGGTCGTACAGAGCGTCGAACTCTGCCGATTCAACATCTTGCTCTCAGGTTTGGTTCCAGTGGTTCGGCTGGCTTGGGTAGTGGAAGAGCGAACGTGTCGGTCAGTACGTCCAGTGGAATTGAGATCGACGTTGGGGTGCGCTTGAGGCCTTGTTCGTGTCTGGGCGGGAATTGATTTTTATGTCGGACCCACTTCTCGCTTCCGACCTTCACGTCGTACAGCCTGCTACCGCAACGCTTGAGTATTGTGCCTTGCGCCCACTGGGGGTGCTCAGCACGGTAATCGCGTGCTTAGACACAGGATCCATTGGCCAAGGCGCACTTGGGAGCTGACGACTGGTGAACACTAGTGGCCGATGGAATCATGGCTGCATGGTCGGTTCTCAGTTTCCGACCCATTAGCAGTTCTGTTGGCGAGACTCCTCCAGGTGCCGATGGATTTGGAGTTTTGCAGTACAGAAGCAAAAATTGGCTGAGGAGCGCATCACTGGTCTCCTCCTCGTGCGACTTTTGAAGTGCGCGTTTGAACGTGTCTACGAACCTTTCCACTTAACTTTTGGACTGAATGGTACGGCGGTGAGTGTAGTTCCGGATTTGCAAGTGGTTGCAGAAGTCGCGGAACTGCGNGGAACTGCGCCGAGGTGAACTGTGATCCATTGTCGGACACTACTTCTACAGGAAGACCGTGTTGAGCGAAAGTTCGCTGGAGTGCGGCGAAATGGCGGTCCTCAAGGGAATCACTTCCGGCCATTTGGAGTATGCGTCGACGATGATGAGATAGCTGATCCCGTTCATTGGCCCAGCGAAATCGATGTGCAGTCGAGACCATGGTGTCTCTGGTTTAGGCCATGGCGAAGGTGGTTTTCGAGCTGGAAGTTTTGCGGCTTCTTGGAAGCGAGAGCATTGGTTCACAGTCTGATCTATGTCGATGTCCATTGCGGGCCTGTATGCATAGCCGCGGGCGAGTGCCTTCATTCTGGATATGCCGGGATGTCCGCAGTGGAATTTGCGAAGGACGGCTCGGCGGAGGGACGCAGGGACGACCACACGATCGGAACACATGACACACCCGTCGATGATGGACAGGGACTGACGGCGTCGGAAGAAATGCGTGAGATCTCCAGCGGTGCTCTTCTGTGGCCAGGAGGTGTTGATGAACTTCATCACCTTTTGGAGTATGGGGTCTCGCTTGGTTGCATCATGTATTCCGGAGGCAGTGACTGAAATGCCTTTGAAGGTATCTGCCAGTTGACGTTGGACGTCCTCCTCGACTTGGACGACTGCGATCACGTTGTCTTCATCGCCCGTTTGGTGAGACAATCCATCTGCTGTTCGGTGGTACTGGATATCGAGATCATACCCCAGTAGTATGGTAACTCAACGTTGNTGATGAACTTAATCACCTTTTGGAGTACGGGGTCTCGCTTGGTTGCATCATGTATATCGGAGGCAGTGACTGGAATGCCTCTGATGCTGTCTGCCAGATGACGTTGGATGTCCTCCTCGACTTGGACAACTGCGATCACGTTGTCTTCATCACCCATTTGGTGGGT